AATGCAGGGGGGAAAATGGCATTGATTTATATGATAATTTGAACACGGCACGGACCCAAGCTGCTCTTCTGAAATTTTGCGAGAAAAACACTCAAAGATAAACTGTAATCATAGTTCTTAGGATAAAATTCGAACACAAAAAGACTTATTAGTTCATGCAGCCTTCAGATCACAAAACTAGGTGCATTTCATCTTAAATTGATAACATTTGAAGTTCAGAAATGATCAAGGGAACAGCAATTACAGCATACACAGGAATGAAATACAAAGAGTATTTGCAGAAGCATAAAGGGGAAATAACTTACCTCTAGCATGTTCTCATCAATGTTAACAGGGCGATTTGATGGAACTTCAACTGGGTTGAAATCATTGACAGATTTCAGGCTTCCAATAATTGAGGATTCACTTCCATAAACTTCATCGATATTGAATTCTTTCCAAGTTCTGAACTATCGTGGCCTCAGAATGCTCCCCTCATTCCTGGTTGGGGGCAAGGTGTAGTATGGAATTTTCCCTGGAATGTGTCAATGGGACATCAGATTCTAATAATACGGTGCTTTCATCTATGAGCGTGAAATGCGCTCATATTTTGTAAGTTCAAATTCTTTCAAAGGAGACTTGACAGATTCATACATACCCTCATTCCAGTCGTGCAGAACGATCCTTGCTGCAGCATCAACATCAACAATTCCTCCCTTTTTAAGCCTACCCCTAACTGTAGCAACTTTCTGAAGGAAGTCATCCACTGAATCAAAGGTAGGAACCTTGTATATGGTAACCAACATTCTTTCTGGACAAAGTTTGAGAATCTCCTTCACTGTAAACCCATAGTACTAACAGTCAGATAAATCAACACCATTTTATTAAATTGTTCAGACTACGGAAATACTATTGGAAAGAGCAGAATCAGAAGCAAAAAAATGTGAAAGAAAATCCAATTACCAGGACCAACTGGGTCGTCTAACTTCTCTATCCTCTTGTCAAGTTTCGAAGGACGCAATAGAT